AAATCTTTTGAAAATAAAAGGTTTAAATACACTCATACGATGGTGGTTTCATCATAGGAATCACTTGTTTTTCCAATTCTACTGGGGATTTTAAAAAGTATTAAGATTACTGATTTTAATCATCCCTGCTAAACTTTGACTCACTCTAGCTGTCACCTACAACTTTACATTTCAAGTTTTAAAATATAAATAAATAGAACATAAATTGATATTAAAATTATTTCAAAAAAATTTTAAAGCTGTGGAACCTTTTCTTCAACTAAATTCTTATAAAAACCAAGATGTTTAGGTTAAAGCAGAAGTGAGCCTTAAAAGCTGAGTCTCGTTCTCTACCTCTGCTCCCCCATTCCAACTACAAGACAACTACTTGGAATACTAACAGTCTATTAATGCACAATTTAAAGATGACAAAGTTAAAGAGATTCCAGCTCACAGGAAATTTTCAAAACGTATAAGAAAAACCACTTACAATAAAATGAAGATGAAAATATGCAACGCCCTTTGCTTTTGAAGAAATTCTCACTTTCCTTCCTTCCTCCCTTCTACAATTACTCTGAGTAAAGACCATATGGCAAAATATATTAGAATACTGGATGGTTAACCTAACAATGGCAGGACCATGTAGTCATTATCATCACTGCAGGGCTAGCTCCTAGCACACTGACTGGTACTTTGGAGGACTTCATTAAGTATTTGGTGAATATACGAACACATATATGAATTAACAAAATGCACAACTAAACTGAAGGATGTTATGTAATATACCATTGGGGCTTTTGATCTATGGACTGAATTATGACACACTGATGAAGAAATGTGTTACCATCTAGTAGGGGTAACTGCTTAAAAAAATAAGTAAAATGAAAAAACTCCTTTAAATTACAATTTTTTTTTTCTTTTATGGGATGATTGATTCTGATCCCAAGGGGAATAAACAGGCCCAGATATCTCCAAATCCACTTTTCTTTTCCTCCAATTCTTATGTGTCCAAAGACAGGGAAGCAAACACACATTTGTAGGAGGGTATACAATTAAAATTTATAATAAATGTTATTAAACAAGCTGGGTGTGATCATGGGAGTAAGAGAAGTAGGTGGTGGGGACACTGAGGGCTTCTCTGAGGAAGATTTAATAAATGGAAGGCAGAAGACTGATAATATTTGCTAGAAATTATGGGAAATTTTTGGTTTTACAAATTTCACCTGTGTATACAGCCAATTTTATTTTACCTGTATTCATGCCCATTCCTCCCTCATCTTAAATTATTCTGAAAGAGATCCCAGATATCATATCATTTTACCAATAAATATTTTAGTATTTATTTCTAAAAAACTGACTACAATGAAAATAAATTAATAATCAGTAACTATAACATAGCTAGAAAAATCTCATATTTAAAAATTAACAATACATTTCTAAATAATTCATGGTTAAAAGAAAATTTAAAGTAATTTGCACCAAGTGATATTAAAAATACAACATAACAAAATTTGTGGAATGCAGGTAAAACACAAATTTAGAAATTTATAGTTTTAAATGCTTCTATTAGAAAAGAATAGCTTTAAAAAAAATGGCCTGAAGTTCTACCTTACAAAGATAAATATAAGCCCAAAGTAAATAAAAGAAGTGATAGAGCATAAATTTTTTAAACACAAAAGTTACCAGAATCTACAACAAAAAAGGAAATCATTATCAAACATAAATATGAAAAGACAGTAAGGGAATATTATGAACAACTTTGTGCCAATAAATTCAACAATTTAAATTAAATGTACAAGAGGGGAGGGGGGATAGTAGAGGATAGGAAAGGCAGCAGAACACAACAGACACTAGTATGGCAATATGTAAATCAATGGATGTGTAACTGATGTGATTCTGCAATCTGTATATGGGGTAAAAATGGGAGTTCATAACCCACTTGAATCAAAGTGTGAAATATGATATGTCAAGAACTATGTAATGTTTTGAACAACCAACAATAAAAAATTTAAAAAAATAAACCCAAAAGAAAAACTCAAAAAAATAAAATAAAAAATAAATTAAATGTACAAGATTATATAAAAATTTAACTTATTAAACATAAAATGAAAAATAAAATCTGAAAGGTTTTATATCTCAATAAGATAAAATATTGGCTGGTGAAGTCTATCAGATATTTAAAGAAGAATAAATACAGATATTACCCAAACTGTCAAAAAAAATAGGATAAAAAAGTAGTTCTTTTGCCAAGTGCGATGGCACATGTCTGTAATCCCAACGGCTCTGAGGCAGGAGGATCACGAGTTCAAAGCGATCCTAAAGCGAGCCTCAGCAACCTAGAAAGGCCTCAAGCAACTCAGCGAGATCCTACCACTAAATAAAGTACAAAAAAAAAGTGGGGGTTGGGGATGTAGCTCGGTGGTTAAGCATCCCTGAGTTTGAGCCCCAGTACCAAAAAACAAACAAAACTATCCTTAACCATGTATAACAAAACAAATCCAACAATATATCAAATATAGATTATCTCAGGAATGCAAAATTTAATAAGTACTACAAAATTAATTGTAATTTATGAATTCAATTATATATTTCAATGTATGTACAAAAATACCATTTATGTAAAAATTCTTAAGAAATTAGGAATAAAAGAGAACTTCCTAAAATCCTTATTGATGGCATCTTTGAAAAACCTATAGTTAACATTATACTAAATGGTGAAACTTCCCCTAAGATAGGGAACAAATCAAAGATGCCTGCTCTTACCATTATTTAAAATTACACAAAACACCCTGCCCAGTGCTAGGTAAGGAAAGAAAAGAAAACAAAAAGCATACAGATGAAAAATAGTAAATATATCTTATTCATAGATGCCATAATTATTTATGTAGAAAATCCCAAGGAATCAACAAAAACCTGAATTTAGAAACATCTCAGATATGCAACACACAATTTTAAAAATACAGAGTACAGACAGGAACAATAAATGAAAATAATTTTTTAAAAATAATTCCATTTAGCATAAAAAATATGAAGTGCTTTATGTTTTAAATTGATTCATGAAGAATCAACTTAACAAAAGGTGTGCACAACCTCTACATTAAAAACTATGAAACACTGTTGAGAAGAATTAAAGAAACCTTGCAAAATGGAAAGTATGTTTTTCCATTGGCTTGAAAGTCCCAATATTATTAATGTTAATTCTCCCTGGGTTTATAAAAATTATAATCCCTGCAGGTACTTTTTACAAGTAGAAACTAACTAGCTGATTCAAAATTTATATGATAATGCAAAGGATCTATAACAGTCAAAATAATCCTGATAAGAAATTAAAGGTGGTGGGTCTTACACAACCTGACTGTAAGTCTTGCTATAAAAGTAGAGTAATCTGGTACTGGCATAAGGCTAGACACAGAGTCAATGGAACAGACTAAATAGTCTAGAAACAGCCCATATTTACAAAGTCCTTTAACAAAGACGTCTACAATCAGATTGAAAAAAAAAAGGCATAAAAGGAAAACACCTGTAAACTAGATTTCAACAAAATTAAAACTTTATCCTATTTCTTTTTGTGTTTAACTGAATTTAGTAATCCTTATAGGTAAAGATAACCAAGTTTGTTCCAGAACTGAATGAAGTTTTGTATTTTAAAAACATTTTGTTAAAAGTAATAAATATAAAGAAAAGTATATGAACTGTAAGCATATAGCTCAATAAATTTTCACATATTGAACCCTTGGAACCAGACCGAGAACAAGATCAAAATACAGGACATTACTAGCACTAGTTCCCTGTCACATTTCTTGTCACTGTTTCCACAAAGGGCAATCACGATCCTGATTTCTAACATCACTGACCATAGTTCAAAGGATGTTAATTCCTTAAAACTGACTTGAATAAACAGAATAGTAAGATACTGAAGAAATGATAGCTAATATATAGATATTTGCCTTAAGATTCAAGAGTATAAAAATTTATCAATTAACTGAAATACATCTTCCAATGTGATACAGTTAAAAATGTCCTCCCTTATGCATCCCTCATGGAAGTAATTCTTATATGTCCTTCAACACCTGGAACCTTACTTGTTTCTCTAATCTCTTCCATTCCCACTTTTCTATCGTGGTGCTTTGCCCACTGTTTGCTGTATGAGATTTATGAGTTTCCTTCCTTAGAATAATATAAATACTTGAGGCTGGGGACCTCAACTTGTTCTGTATTTCTTTACTTTTCCTACTATAATCATTGACCTTGTCAACACAGTACATAATAAAGACTGTTGGATGAAGACATACTGGCATAGAATCTGTTAAACAAGTATAATAATTTAAATTAATATCTTAGTTCATAAAAGCTTTTATTTATGCAGAGAGAAGAGCTGAATATACATGTCCCAGAATATTCTGATTAAAGCAGAAAAAATTAATTTGGTCCCATACTTTTTATAACAGTAAAAACTAAAGTAAAATCTCAAGGAAGTAATGCTGAGTTTAAATGACTATGTAATTATTAAGTAATGTATTAACATGAAGAATATTTCCCCTTGGAATCAAAATGAGATTCTAATTACCATAAGGAAAGTTATGCTTCCAAAAGGAAAAGGCATATATTTTTACATATTCAGATGAACAGACAGATATAATTCTAATCAAATAATACAATCTCATTTTAATTTGACATAAGTAATGAAATTAATCTTATCCTATTAAGATAGAAATATTAATTTTATATGGTCTAACCACTTTTACTAACTCAAGTAAAATAACAGAAACTTAACTACTAGTGACATCTACTGAAAAGATATATATTCATATAAATAAGATTACATTTATCTCAAGTAATTGCATTTACATTATATAGAAATATAATGCTACCTTTACTACTTCTTAAAAAGACACATTTTTATAAATATTTAATATGGAAAATATTCATCAGCTTTCAATAAATGAGGTCAATTCAATACAGAAACCTACACAGTTGAAAAATTAGTTGGTAATAACAATGATAAAAAGAGTTTCACTTACTGCTATTTCTCTACATGCCGACATAGAGATCCCAGTTCCTTCTATTTGTTTCAGAGCATAGTCTTTATCATCCTTCCTATAAAAACAAAGATATTTTAATATATAATCAGATCTACATTTATGTACATTCTAAAGTAAAATGTAAATAAAAATAAATCATGTTTAATATGCACTTAATACTTTCATATGTAATTGCATGTTATACAGGAAAAATTTTTTAGATAACCTATTATCTTAAAAGGAATAAAAAAATTTATTCAAGGTTCCACGGTTACTTGTGAAAAATACAGATTCAGAGATAGACCTTCTGGCTCATGGTGATAAATTCTTTCTATTCTAATATTCGAATATATTTTCTCTATATATGCTGATGTGTTTGTATTTAAACAATATAAACATAAAACAAAACTTGCTTTCAAAAACCAAATCAGATTACCAGTAGATCAAAAAAGTTAAGAAAGCATCACAAAAGCACAAAATGGTTATAATTTTAAAAACCTGTTAATGATCATAATCTGATAATAACATAGGTCATCCCCAAATACCTTCAAGAGATATTTACTCAACATGTATTTACTTATTGAACAATTTCTATGTATACAGAACTGTGGTAAATACTAAAGATATAACAGGAATATTTTATTTTTTGTACCTTTTTGTGTCTACTGCCCTAGTCAGATAAACAGCTAAACTGTAATAATACAATAAGTGCTATAATAAGGCAAGAAAAAACCAGAGACATCATCCAAAGGTTCCTTTCATGGAAGACCCAAAGCAAAGACTTCTCAAAGGAAGTCTCAAATGAGGAGGCCTATATGGCTGTTCTCAAAATTTGGAGATTCCACTCCCATTTTTCCTCTAAGAAATTACTGAGAACCTGAAGAACTTTTTGTTTGTTGTATCTATCAGTATCTGCCCTTTGAGAATTTAAGGAAGGCAACGTTTTAAAACACACAAATACAAATGCCAATATCATTCATTAGCCACCAGAGCCATGGTATCATCAGACATTATCTTACCTCTACAAAAGAATCCACTGTACACTCATAAGAATGGAAAAAGCAATTATCATAGCATAATTATGAAAACAGCACTGATCTTGCAGACCCTATGAAAGGAACTCATCAACAGCCAACGGTTCCTGGATTACACTTTGAGAACTGTTGCCTCTGTATCAGTTAAGAGGTACTCGGTAATGAAAGCATGTGAGGTGAGAGAAAATGAAGCATTTTGGAAAGAATGGATACAGTATACAACTGGAGATCAGGGCAGGAATAAAATTAGGATCAGACCATGACAGACTTTTTAACTCAAAGAACAATAATATAAAGTAAAGTTTTCTGTTAAGAGGCAGGAGGATCGTGAGTTCAAAGCCAGACTTAGCAAAAGGTGAAGCACTAAGCAACTCACTGAGATCCTTTCTCTAAATAAAATACAAAATGGGCTTAGGATGTGGCTCAGTGGTTGAGTGCCCCTGAGTTCAATCCCTAATTACCCCCACCCCCCAAAAAGAGTATCAATTATATTTTATTGGAAAATGTATCTCTGGTTGCCTTGTGAATGCTTAGAGTAAACAAGTGCAGGAGGCAGAATATTTAAAAGCAATTAGTATTAAAATTATTTGGAGAGTAATGATGATGGCTACTGCAGAATGGTGGTTAGTATGAAAACTAGACAGAAGGTAATTAAAGTAGGTTAAGGAAAGAGAAGGAGTCACAGGTAACAAGTGAATTACAACATTATTCACTGAAATAACAAACAACAGAAGGAAAAGGTTTTGGGGGGAAAAAGATGAAAATTCTCCTTTTGTGTAGGTTGAGCTTTCAGGACGTATGAGACATTTGGGTGGGCATGGCTGAAGCAAGCTGGATAAAATACTTCAAGCTCAAGGGTAAACTAAAAACATCAATTTATCATAATCAATATACACAACTGAAGAAGCTCTAGCCATGGGAGCAGATGCAATGTAACTAAAGAGAAAAGACTTAAAAAAAAATTTCAAGAAGAGTAGAACAGTAAATAGTATCAAACGCTGCAAAGGTCTGGTAAGGAAAGTCAATTTAATAATAACGAAGCCTCCGTGGATAGTCTACTAGACAAAAATAGTTGAAATGAAGTAGTGACAGAGCCTACATTGCAAAAGGCTGAGGAATGAATGGAACATACACTGAGACAATACATGTAGGTAATTCTTTGAGGGGAAGAAAAAAAGGAGGTGGTGGAATAATATATAAGGTTAAAAAAATTACGTTTTAAAAAGATGGCAGAGCCAACAGGGAAGAATCCAGAGAAAAGGAGCTGCTGATGGGGAAAGAGCAGGTTAGGAAAGCAAAGACACTGAAATTACTAGAGTTAGAAGGGATACACTCCTTTCATAGAGCAAAAAGTGGATACAGATAGAAACAAGTTGGTTTAGAGGCAAAAGGCTAGAGCAGTTCCCATTTTGATGACTCTTATTTTTATGAAATTGGAAATGAGGTCATATAGTAAAAGGGTAGAGGTGACAGGAATAGAAATTTGAGTACAATGAAGGTTTGACTGAATGAGTTAATATCCTCTTATAAAGTCAGTTAATTTAAAACACTATATTTTTGCTTCTACAATATATTTTATACCAAATCTTAGTGAGGAAAACATAGCCCAATGGTAAATTATTTTCCTGGGAAAAAATAATTTTCTGATAATCAGTTGTATAAGATACTTTCCAGTAAAGCACTGTGGGTATTCATTACATTAAAAAGACATTAAGAATATCTGTACTTAATGCTCACTAAATTTGAATTATTTATGAAAGGCCTAATGAAGTTTAAGGCAAAAAAATGCAACTGGGATAAGAATATGTCTATTAGACATTTTCATGTGCAGGGTATTGATTTAACCAGATGGCTAACCCAGGAGTTCTACTATGTGAGGTTAGCACCCTAGACTGATCCCTCCAAGATCTAAGACAGTGAGAATGGAAATAATAAGTTAAACCAAAGATTCACCCATTCACTTCCTTTATACCTACTACCTTTTCTTACTTAAAAATGGTTAAGTTGATAAATAACAATTTCTCCCCAATGAACTAAAAAATATTCTAACCTTCAATCAGTTCTATTCCCTATCTCAAGTAATTACATGTTTCTTTATTTATAAATTATTGGGAAAAAATGTGCAATGGGGAGAATTAATGTCAAATAACTGAAAAAAAATGTTAAATTATAAAAAAGAAAACCCCTTCTTGAAAACTATCTAATATAAATACCACTATAATACAATGGTACTTTGTGGTTTACAAAGTATGTTCAATTTTTTATCTATCCACACAGTTTTTTTCCCCCACATTTTTGTACTGGTGCATTATAGTTGTACATACTTTTTAATGAAAACACTATTGCATAGTTTCACTGATATCTAGTAAAAATACTCAGATTATACAAATGAGTAACTGATGGAAGGGGGAAATACTATTGAGCACTACTGGCCAAAAGTAAAGACAAAAAAGTAAAGACAAAAGATACATTTTACATATTATTATGTGCATGTATGAATATGTAACAATGAATCCTGCCATTATATACAACTACAATGCACTAATAAAAATATGGAAAACATGAATAATTACTATATATAGTGTTCTAAGTACATGGATTTGAACTGTGTGGGTCCATTTACATGCAATTTTTTTAAAGACTTATGACAATTTGTAAAAACTTGCAAATTGTATAGCCTAGAAATATTGAAAAAAAATTAAAAGGTATGCCAGAAATGCATAAAATATATTTATGTAATAATCTATTTTAACTTTTACTTTCATAAAATATATATAAATCTACTATAAAAATTAAATGCATAAAAACTATACACAAAAATTATACATGGAGTTCCTACAGTTGAGAGAAATGTAAATGAACATAAAGATAAATATTAAATTACACTCAGATTTTAAGCTGCATAAGGGGATATAGGCATCCCTAATACCTACGTTGCTCAAAGTGCACAATAAAAGGGACAATCAACTGTATCTTGAAGCAATGCAAAAGAAAGCTCCAGAAAGTCAGAAAAATAGAAAATCAGAGGAACAATCCATAAGATCCAAAACAGAAATACTTAGAGGAGTTTCAGAGAGAGAAAAAAGAGGAAGCAAAGTTGTAACTAAAAGAAATGATTTTCAAAATCAGAAAGGTCCACGGAATTCCCAAATAAAAGAATGAAAACAAACCCATAACACAATATCTACACATTTCAGAAAAGTAAAGACAAAAGATATATTTTACAAGTTTCCAGTGGGGGTGGGTAACAAGTTACTCAGAAAGGATTAGGAATCCTGACATATGTGGTTTTTCTCAAAACAAGTTTTAGAAGTACTAAGTTCTAGACTAGCTCCACATTTGCATAAGATCATTAAATACTGACTACTCTGTGAAAAGATGTAGTTTTGGCAGTTGAGTCCTATATAGGAGTCTGTCTGGATAATAACACTAGCAGTTGCAGTGGCAGGAGAACGTTCTGGAATAGTCAGATCAAGGAGCTCCCGCCAGAAGGCAAGACAATGCACTACTTTCTTCACAAAGTCATGCTTCAGGGAAAACAAACCAGATGAACTAGTCAATATGCTTAGTTATGTAGTAAAAACTGTGAAATACAATGAGATTAATGTGTTAAATTTAAGTGTCTTATTATGTGACCATAAACAACTGTCACTGCATACTGAGTTATGATGGGTTATTAAGAGAAAAGGTTTTTAAGAATGCTGGACAAGGGAATAAAATCTTGTTGATTATGCAAGATGACAAATAGTTGAGTCCCGATGCTTTAGGGATGTGGTTTAACTTCTTTGGTGTGCCATCTTTGGTATTTTTAATGACCCTAGTATTTCCAACTAGAGAAAGAATGCAAAAATTCAAAACAAAGATAGCCATTAAATATATTTTCTTGGGCCTTAATCATATTTTAGAAGATTTTTTAATGTAAAGGACATACTTGCATGGCTTTCAAAATTAGTATCAAAACAGTATACTTAAATCTAGTCATACAGAGATATAAACCCTTGTTTTTATACCCCAAAGCAGTATATTAAAAATCCAAAAGCAA